TCCACATCAAACAACACTCCCCAACACTGAACAACATGCAGTCTTCATTTAAATTACACATATTTCAATATGTTCGTATTACTGATTTTACCTTTTTTGTTGTTGTGTTTTCTTGCAGTAGTTTCTCCCCATGATTACTGTTTAGTGTTTTATTTGTTTAATTATCATTATATCTAGCAACTGTACTTTGACAATGTATAAAGACTTATGTAAATTCATTTTATTCTGCTTTAGATACTGAAGATGGAATCTGATAGAATTCCAAAACGTTTATCCATGTCCTCTTTTTGTCAATAAACAATGTTGTATATCATAAGTGTCATCATTTTATATATTATCAAACTTCTTTTTCCTTCGAACACATCGATTGCGAATGTCAAAGGTGTTGGAACATACATTCAACTTAAGACGTTAACTTGACAGAGCTTATTCCTGGGCAAAACTGAAAGAATTTTGAACAGTCTTTTAATAAAACTATTTATATTATCAATTTAATGAAAATAAAGAAACCAGTTACATATACAGCTGTACAGGGGATTAAGTACACTTTATAAGAATGACCAGCATGTGCTAATGAAGTGATAGGTCACAAATGTGAGCCACAGTACTATGAGCAAAATATGTAGCACCTGTATATTTGGCTCACAACATATTTTAAACTATTTGACAATGCAATAACACCACAGTTGCAAACGACTGGACAGATTTGTCACAACCTTTTGTAAGAAAATATTTTCCTATAATGAAATTCCTAAATAATGTATACCAAAAGAACAAAACTATTTAAAGAAGAAAGTCTTCAATATTCTCCAAAGGAGTGGACAAAATTGCAAAGAAGAGAGTTTAGGGCAGTAAGGCACTCCCAAATCACACCACGAGTCAGTCTGAATAATGTCTTCATCCACAGAATGAAATTATAGTTCAAAAAATAAAAAAAGAATACTCTAACCCAAAAAGCCATTACAATGAAATTGGACATGCAGAGCCTTTTTAGGGTTATGCCTTGCTTATACTAAAGCAAATTTTATTGTGTAACCATTCAACATTGCAAGTTCATTTTCAATATCCTAGGTCTACTTTATATCTAATGAAATATTGATTGAAACAGTTTTTAAGTTGTGAACACTTTTGCTGGCAAGTACAATTATAATCAATCATATTTGTCACAAGTATTAGGTTTATTATATTTTCAACCACTACACTGTTTATTCAGTCCCTTAGGGTTTTTTTTAAAAGAGAAGTGTAAGAGTATTTCAGCTACACCATGTCCTAGGACAACAAAGCATTTCACTTACCACCAGAGCTTATCAGTACATCTGTGTTAATGTCCAACCTGTACTGATGTTGTTGTTTTTTTCAATCATACCTCTTAGGGTATAATATAAGATTAAACATTATACTTCAGCAGTTCTGGCATTATACACTACACAACTTAAAAGATATTAATCTTCTTCCATGTTTTGTTAACTTTTGGTTTTAAGAAATTAATCTTACTTCTGTAACTTCTTGTTTGATAACGGCTACTGACGAATCCAGTAATAAACACTGTAGATAAGCCACTGCTGCCTCTTCATACCGCCCAAGGCTGACAAGTGCAGCACCCTTACGAAAGTATCCCTAAAACAATATAAGGTGTATTTTTAAGATAATCTAATTGGTTTACAAATGTAAGGTTCAATTACTTTAAGGTAAATCATATCAACAAATGTATAAGCAGCATACTTTACAGGTTATACCACTAATAAAAATGATATAACATTTTAACCACTTATAATGTTGAAAAATGTAAGTCAAATGTAAATTGCTATAGTTACAAAGTCGTGTTTTCTAAATTAATATTTTTTAGCATTTTAAACATTTAAAATAATAGCTGTTACATTCAGTTTTAGAATTAAAAATTTTTAGACCTCCAGTGTAAGGCTTTTGATTTTAGTGACTGGTTTTCATGCCAAGGGCTCTCTCCCACCAAAGTAGTGAAGTTTTATAGCATAATAGCACAATGAACTGAGATATTCTAGATTTTAGCATATTCCATGAATACTGTAAATCGGGTTAGTCACTGAGTAAATGTACAATATAAAAAGGTAATGTTAGAAAACAAAATCTGTAAATAAAAACATTACACTTCCAGATCACTATACCAAACCTTAAATTTCATCACATTTAAAAAGACAATTTTATTCTTCAACAGATATTATATTGCATAAAAACAGTAATAAATCAGTGAATAACAAAATGTGATGAAAGACAATGAAAAAGCTCCTACTTTAGGCCATGTAGGACATAAGTGTATTGCCAAGTCAGCAACTTCTAGTGCTTCATTTGCTTGTCCTAGTATCAACAAAGCATGAGATCTGTTGCTGGCTATCAGGTGATTATCTGGATCTGACAGAAGTAAAAAAAAAATTACTTTTTTTTCAGATAAGAAGCCAAAATACAACTTAAACCACACTCATGATGATCATTGGTAAGTGCCTTCAATAACTACGTACAAGGATGAATAATGTACACCAAAGAAAGTTAACGTTCTGTAATATTGATATCACAGACAGTTTTTCGAAAAAATTAAGGAATCTTTAAACACAATACCATATCACATGATGACAACCTTTTCAATAACTGGAAAAGTAAATACACTAACAAAAAAAGATATACATAAAACTGCTGTACATTTCAAAGACCACTGGTTATCATTTTAAAGAACTTCATAGTCATGTAAACACAAAGAAATGAGCCAACAGATGGCATGCTGGAAATGTTTTATGGTGGTAATAATGGTTTGTAAATGTGTGAGAGAGGTTGCCAGTCAACATGACAACTCATTAAATTTCTGTGTTTCTTAGCGATATGCCAACCTTCAAAAAGTCCTTGTCTTGTAAACTTGGTAGAATATTCAATAATTTTCAAATCTATCCAATTAATATTATGGTTATTTAAAGAATATGATTTATAATTGCAGAATCCAATATGTTACCTTTCTTTAACTACTTTCTTGTGGTAATTAATGAATGTTCATCCTCTACAAGAGGAATCACAATCATCCAATTTAATTTTATATATTATGCCAAACTGTTCCAGAAGCAACCTTTATTTTTGGGGTGTACAAGAACAGGATTTATATGCAACTTGAATACTGACTTGCTGGAAAGTGTTTACAGAAAGACTATTAGGATGATTCTCGGAATGGAAAGTTATCTTAAAGGATAAGTTAAAACCTCTTAATTTATTTTCTCTTGAAAATGGAAGAGCAAGAGGAGATCTTATTGAAATTTGCTAAATTATATGTGAAGATTAATAAGAATTTTTTGTGCTGTATTCTAGAGACAATAGGATGAAAGTACACAAGTATAAGTTTTGAAAAATGAATAATGGGCTCCAGTAAAGACCATTTTTTTTAAACAGTGTGATGAGCTTTCCTTCAGCAGCAGTGGAGGCTGGCACTTTGCAGAAGTTTAAGAGAGGAATTGATAATTTTCTGAAAAAAATTTAAATCTGTATGTTTCACAAGAACTTTCTTGAAAGGCCAAACTGTCCCTTGTTCTTGTAACACGTATGTTACTAGGGGTTCATTTCTCATCATATTAGTCGATATGATACATATCTAGATATTCATGCCTCTATACAATACATATCTAGATACAGAAGTTTTACCAAAGGTTTGTTACCAAGTTTGACAGTCTTGTCTGTAATTTATTATCTATATTACTAACATTGTCTTATTTAAGTACTTCACACTTTACAGTGTTTTTAAAATTCTCAGGTTTGATCAACTAAATGGCAGCAGGCAAGAGAAGTACAAAAAAGTTAATATCTGTCTATCTATTTTGTTATTGTTAATTTGTTATGTTACTTTG